AGTCGCGTCGTAAGCCTTCGCACACTATCCGCTCCCGATTCAAAATTCGAATCGGGCCAAAATAATCTCCCGAGCCAAACTTAAGCCTCCCGAGCCAAACTTAAGCCTCCCGAGCCAAACTTAAGCCTCCCGAGCCAAACTTAAGCCTCCCGAGCCAAACTTAAGCCTCCCGATCCAATCGTAAGCCTCCCGATCGCGCTTGGGTCGAATAGTGTGCGACTAGCATAACCCCCCTCGTTTTCGTATTATGTATGACCCTGCCCGGGGCAGTCGTGGATCCAGAAATGATTTCTAGGTGGGGCGAATAATGCGAGCTGAAGGGCGCGAAGTGCCTAGGGCTAGGGGGAGGGTGTTACTGTTAGGCTAAAATACCCTTGCCCTGACAATGCTAGGGGTGGAGGGCAGCCGCCTCCTGTGCCCGCCCTGGATCCGCCACTGCTGTGTTTGGAGCTCAGCTATGTTTTCGCTTAAATTAATGCTGTGGCTATATCCCCGGCAGCCGGCACCCTAACCCTAACCCTAGCCCTAACCCTAACCCTCCTGTTTACTTGTGAAATCACCGAAAATTAAAAACTGCCGGGCATTTAAGAAATCGAAGACCGTGCCCGTCAGCCGTCGGATATTTTCTAAGTCAATTGCGAGTTCGTTTGCTCAGTGATTCGAAGCTAGGAGAATTGGGCTAGTTCGAATATATAGCTCTAACGAAAATCTCTTGACATTTCTAAACAAATGTAGAATACTTTGGATCACGTAGTACACTGTTTACTTGAGAAATCACCGAAAATTAAAAACTGCCGGGCATTTAGGAAATCGAAGACCGTGCCCGGCTGCCAGGCATATATAGCTACATCGTTAAATTAAACCCCAGGTGAAGAATATGCTTGCTTCGCCATGCTGGTGCAGTGGTGCACGGGGTGCTATTCTTCAGCATAAAGCTGTGAGATTGGTTTTGAAATTGGCCTCCTCTTCATGTCCAGGTTCTCAATGCTAAACGTATAACCTTTAATTGAATTTTCATGGTCAGGTGAAGATTGTCATTCCCTCTTCATGCTATAGTCCGAGTTTCTTCTCACCATGAAAATTTAATGAAAAGTTACAAGGCTAAGGTTCGACACGTGTCATCGCCAAAGGATCCCATTAAAGGCATAATAAGCCCATTGATTATGCAATGTTGATGAATGCTAGAGTAACTGGCACCTTGTGTAGTTAATAAGTACATAACCTAATAGCCAAATGCATATTAGTTTGTCCAATATCACTGCTGGTTACATTACAAACAAGACTTGAAATCGGTTGTTGGTAAGATGTGTATCAACGTATCATTTACGTGCCGTAAATGTCATCCAGGAGTCGAGTGATGGCGTAAACATTTGTGCGGCCCGTATGTTTTGGACGCCAGATGAAATGGAGGTGTCAGCGGTGTAACCACGGCCACGGACTAAACAATGGAAATGGAGTAAAACACACGTACTAATCACGGACGCACGTGGACAGCCCTGACAAAAAGTTTCTTATCACGAGCGTCCATGTTTACGAAATCACTGATGATAGCATTGCGTACGGCCGAGCATGCGTGAGAAAATGTCTGGTGCACTATAAATCTGTATCACACCCGCTTCGCCGGCAGCGGTTTGAAACTGTAAACAACTGATTTTTGGACTGCGGATTTCAATTAGGCATTTCTTATAGTAACCAGTGCTCAGTGACATTGGACAAACTAATACGCATTTGGATGTAAGGTTATGTATTTGTTAACTACACAAGGTGCCAGTTACTCTAGCATTCGTCAAAATTGCATAAGCAATGGGCTTATTATGCCTTTAAGTGTAGCGTCTAAAGTTGTTTCTGTCATTTCGTGTTGAAATTCTCTCCCTCCCTCTTTAGTTGGTTGCAAACTTTACTTGAGGCTTTTTCTACTGTGATTCATAGTGTCTGTCTGTCTATTTGATCAACTTTGTCTCTTTCCGTCCACGACATAGTCCCTTGGACTTTGAAGACTGATATTTATGAAGTTATTGGTGTTCTAGCGATCACACAAAGAACCATATATATATACATTCCATCAGATGGAGCAGTTTGTTTGATATCTAATTAAATTGTTCAGCTTTGCATGGCGGTTATAAATATAAATACTAAATTTATCTTATTAAAAAGCAACATTGTTAATTGGTATTCAGAATTCAAAATGATTGGTTATTTTCTGATGTCATGAAATAAAAACGCAGGGGCTGAAAATAGTGGTTTTTTCTCGCAGGTCCGGGACTTTTCAGCAATATTTTTAGAAGGTCCGATGAAAGATCTGGAAGGTCCAAATATGTAACGTTTGTTTGGCTAATAGATCGTTTGGTAACAGTGGGTCCTATTTTTGATACAAAGCTAAACGTAAACAAACTCGTTTTTGCCTTCGTTTGATACATGTGTCGTCTGCAGGCATTCCGAGTTACTCGCACGAGCGACGAGTTACTTCCAGTATGCTGACACTACGCGTGCATTCGCGTTACAACTTCCATTATAAACAACTATGCTACTAACGTTGCAGCATACGCTATCAGTATGTGTAATTTCGATCAGATTTTCGGTACATTTGACTCTTTAATATACTTGGTATGTTTCATCGTGAATATTAAATATGGCACTATATATGTTGACAGTGACCAATAATCGATCTACTTTCGCTTTATTTCTTTGCAATTTGCAATGGTTTAATGATGTTTTATTTGATGAAAGTGGGGTTTTGTAAATTATTGAAATTGCGAAGGTCCGAACATGAAATCGGCAGGTCCCGGACCTCGGACTTGCCCTATTTTCAGCCCCTGAAACTGTAGAATAGTTTTTCCGTTTCTTCAAACTTATACCCCATACAAACTGCAAAATTTGATCCCACATCAAACTCGTTCGGGCCAGGCCTGTGCCTTGCAGGTGCGCGATAAATCGCAGCGTACAGACACAATTTGTTGAACAGCGCTAAGTTAGCACGGGTTGACTGCACATGCTCAGTTTAGCTTATTTTGTTTCTCAGCAGAAAACTATATACTTTTATGTGACCCAAATAAGGCTATGCGAATGCGTATTGTGAAATTTAACCCGGGCCTGTCACCAGATTGCATACGTACACATTTCTGCGCTGACTTGACGGAACTTAGCACGGGCTGACTTGACATGCTTTTAGGCGGGCCTGGTCCACCTCTATTCGCGGGGCTAACTTAGTCCGGACTAGCGCGTATAATTAGCATGGCATACCATGTACACACTTAGTTTGATACAGGTTCAAATTTGCAGTCTGTATGGGGTATTAATGTGACGATTTCGAACAATAATCCCAACCTTTCTCATATTTTCCCAACTATAACAATACTTAGTGATATTGCTTGCGAAACTTGTGTCTAAAGTAGGTCTAAGATGTCTTAGAACACTCGTACATGTATTGTTACTTTTACCAAAATGTGCAACGTTTGAAATTGATTTTCAGCAGGTTTTCCTTTGTTGACCTCTTGTTTATGCCGTTTGTTTACCGTATTCTTTAATTGGTTATATAATGGTGCCACTTGTTTCTTCTGAGACCCTGTCCTTACACTTTGGTAACTTGCATAAAGTAATAGAGATACGGTGCCAGTCTAGAACCACTTGTGTTACCTTTATCATGTAAATATCTTTTATTTCAGGTAAGCATATATATTCAGGCGAGAGGAGGAGTAACTTAAATTGTAGGTGACCCCAGCTATATATACGGGTGAATTGGTAGCCCTGCTAATGTGGGTGCTATATAAAGAAATGCATTAGGCATAAAGGTAATGATAATAAGTGGTGTAGTGAGTAAACATTCACGAGGGTTATGTGATCGTCGGTACATTGTGGAATTTGTGCACGTAAACAGTTATGTGATTAACCGGATCATGCATGGGGTTTCTGTTTTCACACTTAAACTTTGTGTAAAATACATAACATGAGAATGAACGTGTTAATTAATACAAGTTTGTTCATTGGGAAGTACTATTCCATGGGACGATATAATTAGTGTACGAGCTATGTGCCTAATTATATTACGTGTGGTACATGCGTGTGAAATTTGTGATTTTTCAGCATCCATCTCTGACAAAATGGATATTAGTGAAGTTGCTGGAACAGATAAATAATTTGCCACCCAAACATATGAAAGCTATAAAAAACAATGGAGGAGGGTATGTTTCACACTTAAACTCATTGTTTATTTCTGAATACGGTTGACCTAAAATTGCACAAAAGATATGAGCATACATTCAATATTTCCATTCAAGGTACCTCAACCATGCACTTTATTGGACAGTACTGGCACCAAACCCTAATAATGAATATCGACACCCAGAGGTAATATTTATAATAATTTTTTTGCTTCTATTTTAAATAAGATATACCACCCAATTTGTTTGTCACAGCAAACAGTATAACTGATAGTAATAATACCAGGAGTGTATAATATAGAAGAGTACGACTCACTCGAAACACACAAAATTCAACTTTTCCATGCCCTAGTTTACTTATGATTTATCACCTGAAACACAATAATAAAGACATCACAAACATTGTAGATCCAACTTGCCCTCACACTTTACCTTGTATCAATATCTCTTCTGATTATATAGACTAAAATTGTAGTTATAGCTTTGAACATCAGA